GGATGAAAGCAGAGAGTACCAGATGACTATCTTTGACTCATTGATGAAGAAAAGATATTGCGTGGATCACAACAGACTGTAGCTGACTCTGAAAAGAATGGGAATCCCAGAACACTTGATTGTGGTTATGCAAAACCTATACTTGGACCAGGAGGCAGTCGTCAGAACAGAGCAAGGGAACACTGCATGGTTCAAAATAGAGAAGGGTGTACACCAGGGATGTGGCCTATATTCATATCTTTTTCAATCTATATGCAGAACAGATCATCTAGGAGGCTGAGCTTATGAGGAGGAATATGGCATCAGGATTGGAAGAAGAATCATCAACACCCTGCATTATGCAGATGACACAACCCGGCTTCCTGAAACTGAGGAAAACCTGAAGTGCTTGCCGCAGAAGGTCAAGGGCTCCAGTCTTAAATATAGATTGAAGCTCAACATTAAGAAAACAAAGGGGCCAATTGGCAGCATCATGATAGACAGTGAAGAGACTGAAATTGTTAACAGCTTTAGTTTGCTTAGTTCCACAATCAACACTCTTGGTACCAGTAGCCAAGAAATCAAGAAATAAATTACATTGGGAAAGTCAGCTGTCAGGGACCTCGCCAGAGTACTGAAGAGCAATGACGTCAGGAAAGAGACTAAGGTGCACCTGATCCAGGCTATGGTCTTCACAATTGTGTGCTATGTGTCAGAGAGCTGGACAGTGACTAGGGATGAGAGAAAGAGAATTGATGCTTTTGAGCTGTGGAGTTGGATAAGAGCGTTGAATATACTTTGGACTGCTAGGAGAACAAACAAGTTCATCCTGGAGAGGGTGAAATCAGGCTGCTCCTTGGAGACAAGGATTCTGAAGCTCCATCTGACATACTCTGCACATTTTGCAAGGAGGGACCAGTCCTTGGAGATGGACTTCATGTTTGGGAGGGTGGAGGGACAGCAGAAGAGAAGAAGATCCTCAAAGAAATGGATCAATTCAATGATTAGGGTAATGGGGATAGATGTGGAGGAGACAGTGAGGTTGGCACAGGATTGAGCAGGGTTTAGGGCTCTTGTACATAGGGTCACTATGAGTCTCAAGCGACTTAATGGCACATAACAACAACATCTAAGACCTGGACAGTGACTGAGGGCAGTAGAAGAATCAATGCCTTCGAGTTGTGGTGCTGGAGAAGAGTACAAAGTTGAGTATCACGGACTGCCAAGAGAATAAACAGGTCTGTCCTCGAGAGGGCGAAACCAGGTTGTCCTTTGCTCAGGCCAAAAGCAGTTTCTTAACTTTTCATCTTTGTACTTTTGAACAAAAGTAGCCATCTGAACTTTACTTCTGTTCTCAAACCCCTAACTTTGTATTCTTATGTAATCTCATGCTTTCATGAATCATGACCCAGCGCAGTGAACCCCGAACCCAGCTCCTGACATTAACTGGAAAAAGCGTAAGCACAGCATGAGGAAGGCCAAATCTAATCTCCACAAACTCCACAAAGGCTAACTTCCCTCTCAGCAGCACCCATAAGATAAAGCCAATTTCCACAAGGTCAGACATGTCTCCAACGCTTCTAATTCCAACAGCAAGCTTACTGTTGTACTGGGTCCGATACCTGTTGCAATAGCCACACAGACCTTATAGAACCAGACTCACAATTATAAGGCTTATTAGAGAAGTTAACCAGTTACCGTTCAGGGTAGCAATGTGATACAAGTTCTCACTCTGGAGAGTTTCTGAGCTGTATACTCACAGGTCCTTCAGGCTTCAGTCTTGTGGCTTTAACACCAGTGTTAGAAAATCCTTAGTCCTGCCAATTATGGCCTTCCTCTTTCAGTCCTCCGGCAAGATTGGGTGAAATTCCCAGCTCTGGGTCCGTGGGGCAGCTGCTGTAAGTCATAGCGTGTTGAATCTCTGGTTGAAGGCTGCTACAGTTGCTACTGCTCCCCCGTAGGCCCTGTGTGGTGTCTAGGGTTTGTTGTTCAAGACGGCTTTCCTATCCACTGAACGTGACTTTGCACGTGGATGGGTGGGATTATGCAAATAGGGCATGATAGTCTATCCATGAGGGGCTTGGCTAGTCTTGCTATTAAATTCAGTGGTAGAGCTTTCTACGAAGATGGCGCCGAAAGCGAAGAAGGAAGCCCCTGCTCCTCCCAAAACTGAAGCTAAAGCAAAAGCATTGAAGGCCAAGAAGGCGTCCTGAAGGGCGTCCACAACCAAAAAAAAAAAGAAGATCCGCACGTCACCCACGTTCCGGTGGCCTAAGACGCTGAGACTCTGACAGCAGCCCAAATACCCCCTGGAAGAGCGCTCCGAGGAGAAACAAGCTTGAACACTATGCCATCATCAAATTTCCCCTGACCACTGAGTCAGCCATGAAGAAGATAGAAGACAACAACATACTTGTGTTCATTGTGGATGTCAGGCCAATAAACACCAAATTAAACAAGCTGTAAAGAAGCTCTATGACATTGATGTGGCCAAGGTCAACACCTTAATCAGGCCTGATGGAGAGAAGAAGGCCTATGTTCGACTTGCTCCTGATTATGATGCTTTGGATGTTGCCAACAAAATTGGGATCATCTAAACTGAGTCCAGCGGGCTAATTCTAAATATAAATTTTTCTCACCATAAAAAAAAAAAAATTCAGTGATAGAAAATTGGAAATCTCACCAACGGGGAAAAAAGACAGCAGAGAATGCAGGATGCGTCCTTCAGAGCCAAAGATTCCCGCACCAGTCAGATCAGGTCTGATAACAGCAGCAGCTATAGCAGAGAACCAGAGATGGAGCTGACGTTGGGACTGCTACCCCATGGCAAGGAGCCTTTGCCCAAGCTTGTTGTCGGACTAGGGAGGGGGAAGGAAATGTCAAAATTGGAAGGACAAAGAGGGCTCTGTAACACTGGCCTGAAGCCACAAGGCTGAAGGCAGCTGGGTCTCCATCCCTCCCTCCTGAGGCAGCTCTGGTGGCCTAGTGGCAAAAAGCTGCACTGGCATCCAAAGGCGTGTGGTTCAAATCCACCAGATGGTTTGCTGGAGAAGAAGGGGCAATCTCTTCCTGTGCCAGAAGGATCCAGAAAGCAAGCAAGCAAGAAAGAAAGAAAGAGAAAAGCTCTATTAAGGGAATATAAAAGAACAACATATTTAACAATGTGGTACTTGAGTCTTATTTATGAAGGACTCATTAACTCTCAAAGAATATTTCTAAACTTAGGCCTCTTGGTACAGCTGGATAAATCAATAGTGGTAAATTCTCTTTTCTTACAAAATTCATAAGCATCAAGCTTAGTGAAAGCAGTGAATTCTTATTTCTATTACTTACTTCATGAGCTGGTTGTTTGGGGTTTGGTGGACAGTGTTTGGTGGAGCTCCCCGATTAAAGCAATCTTGGAAGCGGGAGTGGCACCCACTTCTATAAATAACTTCCCTCCAGAAACTCTATGAACCTGGAGAAAGGATGAAAGTCACGCACGCAAGTGTCGAGGACTTTCTTTCATAGGGTCGCTATGAGTTGCCTATGACTTGAAGACACTTAAAACAACAACAACAACTCCTTATTGCACTATTCAGAAAACTAGATAATAATAATAATAATAATAATAGCTACCAGGTTTAACAAACTCTCTTATAAATGTACAGAAATGTTGTTAATCATAGAACAGTTCACGTCTTCTGTGCAAAGCTTACTCTGAGTTGTATTCAACTCAACAACACTTAACCACTGCTAAAGGAGACTAGCGCTGTTCTATCTGCAGGAACATTCTTCCACTTTGCACATCACTCTTTGTCAATGTGCTGTATGAGGTAACCTGGGTTTCCTGTGATGCTGAACCTTATACAATTGGGGTATACCAGAATGGTTTCCCAATGTGAACAGTGTTTGGTGGAGCTCCCAGTTGTAAAACAGGTTTGGAAGCAGGAGTGGCATCCACTTCCTAAACCACATGCCTCTGGAAACCCTATGAACTTGGAGAAACAAAGATAGCTATGGAAAGGTATTAGGTCTTTTGTTCATAGAGTCACTATGAGTCAACCTTGACACGACAGCTATCAACAACAACAACAACAACAATATTGTCTCCTTATGAATATTTAAGTATTTTTTTAATTCTAAGGCTGAAAATAAGAAAAAATTGGGGTGGCATAAAAGCCATGCGTGGGGAAGTGGAGAATCCAGAGAGGGTCAAGTCTCCTTCTTGTTAGAAGCCAGTGCTCCCGGTTCCCTGCCTCAGATCCTGTCTGTCTCCAGGATCCCAGACAAAAACATGCCACAAACACTTCCAAGGTCTCTTTAGAAGATCCTGACTAGAAACTTGTCATTTGTTTTGGTAATTAGCAACTGAGAACGTTTTCCAGAGATGTCTTTATCTCCCAAAGCCTCCACTCTCGATATCACTGGTGGCAAGTTTCCATTCTATGGGGAAGAGAGAACACCGAATAAAATAACGGGACTCCAGTGTCTGGCTGTCTCCCTCAGAGGCTGGTACTGATGCCATGGCCACCACATTGAGCTCCCTGTGCCAGCAGCTAAAAGAAGTTTGGGGAGTATTTTTCTTTCTCCTGTAAGGGAACATGATCTGTCAGGGTCAGGCTAAGTGATCATATTGGAATAAGGAAACATTTTGGATTCCAAACTGGTCCGGTGGAATACAGGAAGCATGGAACTGAATTACAACAGACATAAGGGTCATGAAACCCAGTTCAATTCCTAACAGCAACCAGTGTCACTTAGAGTCGGACACAATAACAGTGATTCTTGGTGCTTGATTCCAAAGATCGTGGAATCTGAGTAACTGTAGTTGCATAAAGGATGTAGTGTGAGCAAATCTGTGTTTCCTTCAACTGTAAAGGACTCTTGAGAATTGTCACAGGTATTCTCTAAAAATGACATACTTGTAATGTAGAGCAAGGAAGGGTGGGAAATCCACTCAGCTTCTCAAACCCTGTAAAGAAATAGTCTTTCGTTGCCAAACAGAAACGCGCTCTGTAATTCTGACTGTGGCCAACTCCATGGTGCTCCTGTCCCGTGGAATCCCCCAGGTCATGGCAGCTTTCGGGTGGAAATACTTCAACGATTCTGCATGCAAACTCGTCTTCTACGTTTACAGGGTGGGCAGGGGCATGTCCTTCGACAGCGCCTGTCTTCTAAGTGTCTTCCAGGCCATCGCCATCAGCCCTGGGAACTCCAGGTGGGCAGGATTGAAGGTTAAGGTTCCCAGGTCCACGGGTGTCTCTGTCGGCTCGTGCTGGCTTCTGCACGTGCTGGTAAACATCATCTTCCCCGTGTACATGACTGGCAACTGGAGAAATAAAACCATTGCTGAGAAATACGTCTACGGCCAGTGCTCTTCCGTCCCTGGTGACAGGGAGGCACACTGGCTGCATTCGGCCCTGTTGCTGGTCCCTGACGCTGTGTCTCTGGGCCTCACGCTCTGGGCCAGCGGCTCCATGGTCTTCCTCCTGTACAGACACAAGCGGCGGGTCCGGCATCTCCACAGGAACAGCGCGACCCCCAAGTCCTCGCCCGAGATCAGAGCCACGCAGACCATCCTCGTCCTCCTGGGCACCTTCCTGTCTTCGTACGCCCTCTCCTCCGCCTTCCAGGTCTTTCTGAGGAATCTGCTTCCTCCCGCTTGGTGGCTGGTGCCCACGGCCGTGCTGATTGCCACGTGGTTCCCAAGTGTCAGCCCCTTTGTCCTCCTGGGCCGCGACCCCAGAGTCTCCAGACTCTCTTTTGCCTGTATTAATATGAAATCCCTTCTTCTCAGAAAGACTTGATTTTATGGGTTTGCATGATGTTTGCTTGTTTACCACACAGAATCCAGTCATAGTTGGAACAATCATGAGTGCACACACACACGTACAGTCAGGCTCCTCCTAATACCCATTCCGGCAACATGTGACTGTACTCTTACCCTCACAGGGCCCCTATTTCATAGCAGAGTTCTGAAACCCTGAGTATGAAACCCAGGGAAGGTCAAGCTTCCCTTTCCTTGTTATGAACCATAATATGCACCTTGCAGGCTCGGTTTAGAAGAGGTCGTGGTACGAGGGATATTATAGCTAATGTCAGATGGATCTTGGCTGAAAGCAGAGCGTACCAGAGGAATGTCTGTGTTTCAGACTGTGTGGATCACGACAAGCCATGGCTGACTCTGAGAAGAATGGGAATCCCAGAACATTTGAGTGTGCTTATGCAAAACCTATACTAGAACCAGGAGGCAGCCGTCAGAACAGAGCAAGGAGACACTGCATGGTTCAAAATCGGGAAAGGTGTCCACCAGGGATGTATTCTGTCTCCATACCTTTTCAATCTGTATGCACAACAGATCATCCGGGACACTGGGCTGTATGAGGAGGAGTTGGTGGAAGATTTCATAAACAATCTGCGTTATGCAGGTGACACAACCCTGCTTGCTGAAACTGAGGAGGACCTGAAGCGCTTGCTGCAGAGGGTCAAGGACTGCAGCTTTCTATATGGATTGAAGCTCAACATTAAGAAAACAGATTCTCACCACTGAGCCAACTGGCAGCATCATGATCAACAGAGAAGAGACAGATTGTTAACAGCTTCAGTTTGCTTAACTCCTCAATTAACACTCTAGTAGCAGCAGCCAAGAAATCAAGAGATGAATTGCATTGGGAAAGTCAGCTGTCAGGGACCTCTCAAGAGTACTGAAGAGCAACAACATCAGGCTGGAGACTAAGGTGTGCCTGATCCAGGCTCTAGTCTTTGCAATTATGTGCTATGCGTCAGAGAGTTGGACAGTGACTAGGGATGACAGAGAATTGATGCATTTGAGCTGTGGTGCCAGAGATGAGTGTTGAATATACCATGGACTGCTAGGAGAACAAACAGATTCATCCTGGAGAGGGTTAAAGAAGGCTGCTCCTTGGAGTCAAGGATTCTGAAGCTTCTTCAGACATACTCTGGACATGTTGCAAGGAAGGACCAGTCCTTGGAGAGGGACATCATGCTTGAGAGGGTGGAGGGACGGTGCAGACAAGGAAGCTCCTTGATGAGATGGATTGATTCAGTGATGAGGGTAATGGCAGTAGGTGTGTCAGAGACAGTGAGATTGGCACAGGATAGAGCAGGGTTTAGGGTTGTTGTACATAGGGTATGAGTCGCAGGTGACTTGATGGCACCTAACAACAACAATATGCATGTCATTTTCCTGTAACAGGATCTACATAGTTGTCCAGAATGCCCAATAGTTGGACCTCCCTTCACCACGCAGAGACTGCCTTTACACCAAACCGAATGCACCATCAGTCAAAATAATTCCGGCTTGTCCTGAGTTTACAGGACAAATTACAACCGATCCACAGATTTCTGAGATTTTGCAACTCCCGGCTGCTTTCTCTTCCTCTGGGTCTGGTGATGAGTGTCCCCACCGCTCAGCCAGTAGGGCTCTTCCCCAGGTTTACAGGCTAAGATCTTCAAAGAGACACAAGAAAGTTGTACTACACAGTCACTGACCCATATCACAGGCTCACGGTTGTCACTCCGATAGCCAATTTCTGCATCTTCCCGCCCCTGACACCACCCCTCAGGGAGGGGTCTGTGGGGGAGACCAGAAATAACAGCCACTCCTGCCTCCCACATACCAGCACCCCTTCCGTTCTGCGTCCCCGTCATACAGACGCTTCTCCAGAGCTTTCAAGTTGAGCCTCCAACCCAGCTCGACGAGGTGAACAGCTGGCGATGGTACAGAAAGGAGAAAACGCAGCCCTGACTCACCAGACCCTCCCCTGGGTGTTTGTTATACGTTTTTTTGAGCTTGACTACCTAGCCAAAGGTTGGTGGTTCAAACCCTCCCAGCAGAACTGTGGGGGGTAAGTTCTGAGACAGAGATGAACACAAAGCCAAGCTCACTGCTGTGTTGTTTGGTGTCGTTCGGTTGGTGTCAGCTCACAATGACCCTGCTGCACAGGACAGAGGTGAACCGTGCCCTGCCCTCGCCATTCTCGGCCTCTGCCACGCGAGGGTCTGAAGGGACACTGAGCTGGTCGGCCGTCTGAATGTCTTCGGTGAAGAGGATTTCCTATCTTCTTTCCATTTTAAGTGGATTGTTGTCAATCTTACCCCTGTAGCATTTTGTAGTGATTCACCCATCTTTTTTGCCTTTTCCACAAACATTTCAAACTATTTCACTGTTTTACAACTCATTGTTTTTTTTCCTTGGTGCGTGCCATCAACTGCAACTCAAAGCCAAGGATCTGAACCTCGCTCTATCTTGTGCCCTCCTGAATATCTTCAGTGCCCTGGAGTTCAATGTTGAGAGTCACCACGTCAATCCACCTCACTGAGTGCTCCTCCCCCACTCCAACCCTCCACCTTTCCAACACGTGTCCTTCTCCAAAGACTGGCCCCTCTTGAGATGAAGCTTCACCACGCTTGCTTCCACGAAACACCAGTATTTGTATGTCTGATCAATGAAGGCAAATGAATTGCACTTCCTCTGAAGCCTGTTGCAACTACACAATCTCAAGTTTAACTTTCACCACCTGTCACTTTGTCACGGCCAGATGACAGAAGCCTTCTGATTATCCCCCCCCCCCGAGGAGAAAAATAAAACTTCCTACCAGTAGTCCTTTGCTCTCCTCTCCCAACACTAGTGGTGACCATTATTATTAGAGAGGTTCTAACACACCCGACCGGGCCAGGTGGGTCGGGGGCTCGGGGCTCTGTGGCAGGGTTAGCCCGCAAGCAGCAGCAGGTGTGTTCCTGGTAGACCTCCGAGAAGCTGCAGGCTTTTTCTAGGAAGACACGGGAGTCCTGAGAGGAGGAAGGAGAGTTGGAAAGGCAGGTGGTCAGCAGGTCTCCTAAACCCACTGGAGGGTGAGCCATGGCAGGCAGGGGGTTGTGCAAACATGTCCACGGCCATCAATGATGCCCACGGCTGTTCTTCCCTGATGGAGGCGACTGGACCGGAGCAGGTGGGGCTGGTGATGGTGCCGAGTGGACTGTAACTCCTAGCGATCCTGTGAACAGCTCCGAACCCCGCCTGCCCTGGCCTGCCCGCCCCATCCCTGACAAGTGCAATCCCATCGCTGCAGCCGTGGTGAACCATCTGGGGGGGCGGGGGTCTTCCTCTGTCTGACCCCCCACCTTTCTGGGTATTATGCCTTTTTCCAAGGACAGGTCTCATTTGGCAACATGCCCAAAGTGTGTGAGACGCAGATTGCCCATTCCTGGCTCAGAGAACACGGCACTTCCCGAAGACACGCGTCTGTCCTCTTGGTAGTCCACGCGATGTCCAGCACTCTCCTCCAACACTGTGATCCATCTTCGCTGTCCAACTTTTACACACACAGGGAGCAAATGAAAATATCATGGCTTTGGACAGGTACAGCTACTCTCTGGCACGCTGGAGGGGTCCTCCACAGATTCTCCCAACATTTACATTAATGGGGCTAGCCAGATCTAGCACACCATACATGCCCAGGTCTCTACTAAGAGTTTCTAGGAACCTTTATGTTCACAACTGCTTCCCTGACTTTTGCCTGCAGTTGGGAGTTTTCTCACAGGATCTCCATCCCGGAAATTTCAGAACATCAATTCGCTCAGGGTGCCGGGGTAGGGGGACAGGGGCGGGTAACTTCAGGGTTTCCAAGGGTGGAGATGCACCCTGACCACTCAGAGCCAGTCTCCAGTTCACCCACCCTTGCTTGACGTCTACACAGGGCCTCTGGTCCCCAGTAGGGCTGACCTGTGAGCCCCCATGACCCCCACACTTGGTCTCTTGGGTCCAGCCGGAGGCAAAGGCTATTCCCTCTGAAGGGAACGAGAAGAACCCAGAAGTCGCACTCATGCTCCTGTTCCAACTTCTCTCAAGGCTGACAACTGCGCCAGCCAGCTGTTTATCTAGCCACCAAGGTTTTGGCAAACATTGCAACATCCAAGTTGTCTCCGTCCAGAGCTGTAGTGTCAATCTTCTCACAGCAGGAAAGCAGGGCCATGTACCAGGAGAGGCCACAGCCGCTGAAGGCGGGTGGCACCACCCATTCTGACCAGGCTGCAGCTGACCGGTCCACGCACCCCAGGCGTTTCTCCCCTCTCTCTGCTGGTTTTACAGAAAGCCTGCTAGTCCTCGATCTCATGTAGAAGTTCTTGAGCTGTGTGCCATGTTCCTACACCTAGTTTTTGCGACAGTCAAGTGTCTATTTTAAAAGGTAGTGAAGGGTTTTCCCATCAGCTAGACACGAGGGAGTTAACCACACAGAACTGCCCTTCACCTGCCCCAGCCTCCGCTGCTGACGCTGTGGACAGACACCCAGGACAGACAGACACCCAGGACAGACAGACACCCAGGACAGACACCCGCAGGGCCAGTGACTTTATTACCCGGCACGTACTGCCCCCTTGTAGGTACCTCTACACATCCCACGACAGTCCAGATGCAGAGGCGAGTAAGGGGGTCTTGGACCAGGCCCCATGTCCATCTGGTCAGGGCATCACTCCCTGCCCTCCTAGCCCCCATGCTGTCCTGGTTTAGGGGGTGCACACAAGGTCTAGTCCTTTCTCTTCTGCTTCGTCTGGGTTAAGGACCCTTGCCCATAGGTCCCTGCTGAGGTGCTTTGCGTGACCCCACTGGGTCTCCAGAACATTGCCTCTGCCCCTGCATGCCCAGGTGGGGCGGGAGAAGGGGGCTGTGGCCGGGCCCTGGGCAGGAGGAGTAGGAAGGAGGCTGGGCCCAGGCACTGCAGAGGGAGGGGAATGTAAGGGCAAACATGGGGAATCAGGAGGCTGCGACACAGGGCTGGAGGGGAAGGAGGGGCAGCCTCGGCAGGGGCCCGCGGGCGGCACCCGTGCACCAGGCATATGGTTCGTCCAGTGTCCAGCCTGGGTAGGGCCTGGGGCGGCTGGCGTGGGGACCGTGGGCGGCACCCACGCACCAGGCAGACGGTTGGGCCAGTGTCCAGCCTGGGAAGGGGCCTGTGGATGGCACCCGAGTGTATAGCTAGGCCTGTGGCCAGGCAGGGCCCCAGGGTGGCACCAGTTAGTTCTGCAGCCAGGGCAGGAAGGGCCCCTGCGCCCCTGCTAGCCAGCGGCCAGCCCGGGAAGGAGCCCTGC